AGGAATCTTCATGCTCAGAGGTGTGTGAACATGGATCAACCTTCTCTTCACTGTGAGGCCGTGTCACCTGCCCCCCGAGATCTTGCCTTTAAACTCAGAAGTTCACAGAGGCTCTTTCCAAAGTCCCTTTCTTCCCTGGGAGGAATGCTGGTGCCAGCTGCCAAAGGCTGCTTTTCATTCGTTAGCTGTCAGAGGCTCTCTTTTTTTTTTCCCCAACATCTTTATTGGAGTATAATTGCTGTACAATGGTGTGTTAGTTTCTGCTTTATAACAAAGTGAATCAGTTATACATAAACATATATCCCCATATCTCCTCCCTTTTGCATCTCCCTCCCTCCCACCCTCCCTATCCCACCCCTCTAGGTGGTCACAAAGCACCGAGCTGATCTCCCTGTGCTATGCGGCTGCTTCCCACTAGCTATCTATTTTACATTTGGTAGTGTATATATGTCCATACCACTCTCTCACTTTGTCACAGCTTACACTTCCCCCTCTCCATATCCTCAAGTCCATTCTCTAGTAGGTCTGTGTCTTTATTCCCATCTTGCCTCTAGGTTCTTCATGACCTTTTCTTTCTTAGATTCCATATATATGTGTTAGCATACGGTATTTGTTTTTCTCTTTCTGACTTACTTCACTCTGTGTGACAGACTCTAGGTCCATCCACCTCACTAAAAATAACTCAATTTCATTCTTTTTTATGGCTGAGTAATATTCTATTGTATATATGTGCCACATCTTCTTTATCCATTCATCTGTTGATGGACACTTAGGTTGCTTCCATGTCCTGGCTATTGTAAATAGAGCTGCAATGACCATTGTGGTACATGACTCTTTTTGAATTATGGTTTTCTCAGGGTATATGCCCAGTAGTGAGAGGCTCTCTTTATGTTAATGCCTTCCCTTCATACTTCTCAGGACCATTCGGATTTGCATCTGCAGTGGTTAGAAAGGTTTCTGAAACAGACTTAACTGAAGTGGAAGTAATAAAGTCCCTGGCCCTGGAGAGACGTGGTTTTGAGTCAGAAGGCCTGGGTAGTCCCGTCTCTGCTAGTGATAAGCTGAGTCATGGTGAGAAGCCCAGACCTCTTTGGGGCTCACAATATTATTATAAATATATGATATGATATGATATGATATCATATGATCTAATCTAATGCTAATCTAATCTAATCTAATCTAGTATACAGTAATTCCCCTATGTACCAACCTTCAGGTTGCGAACTTTCAAAGATGCGAACATGCGTTCACATGTCCAATCACATAAGTTAGTTCACGTGTCTGGCATACATTGTCACGTGCATGCATCCTCTACAAGTGGTTGTGCTTTTGTGTACTTTACTGTACAGGACTGTGTAGAGTACAGTAGTCCAGTATCTTTATTTCAAGCCCAGGGTGTCTGGAAGCAAGCATAAAAGCAGCAGTGATGTAGCTGGTACTGCTAAGAAAAGCCAGCTCTTGTACTATACTAGTGTACTGTCCTGTAGATTAAAAATGTTTTCTTTATTTTTTGTGTTTGTTTTTTATGTGTTACTTGTGTGAAAAGTATTATAAAAAGTATTATAAACCTATTACAGTACAGTACTATATAGCCGACTGGGTTAGTTGTGTACCTAGACTAACTTTGTTGGACTTATGAACAAATTGGACTTATGAATGAGCTCTCGGAATGGAACTCATTTTTATGTAGGGGACTTACTGTAATATATAATATAATATAATATAATATAATATAATATAACATAATATAATATAATGAAGTACTTGATGTGAAAGTATTCATATCAAGAATGCCATGCTCGTGGGCGATTAGAGAGGACTGTTTGGAGCTTGAATATAACCGACAAGTATCCACCACTCAGCCAGCCCTCCTTATTCTCTCATTGGCTTTTATAATACACGTGTGTGTGTTTGTTATTCCATTAGTGCATTGCCTGCTCCCCTGTTTTAGTGTTTATTAGGTGTTTTACACTGAATGTTTGTGGTACCTAAATGTTGTATCCCAGCAGTGGTCGAATGCTTACAGGTGCCTTCACTGGAAGATGACACTGTTTATTTACCTTTATGTAATAGCCGACTTTGCAAAGGATGTGGACATGATCTGTTGTCTGGAAATGTGAGAGGAATGAGTGACTATATAAGCGAATGACTCCTTGGTTCCTTTGAAAGCTTTTAGACTGGAAAGCACATGAATCAAATAAATCCTTTGTGGAATTTAGATCATTTCCATAAACGTGTGTAGGTTATAGGCAGAAATGAGAAAGGAAGGCTAACATAAATTAGATACTCGCATCGTGAATGCATCTGATAATCTGCAAAGATTCTCTTAGCTATTGAAGATGCTGTGCTTTTATAACTTTCTGTCTACATGTCTTGTTGAGCATTCTAGAGAGATCCTCAGGAATTTGCCAACCAATTTCAGAAACATATTCTCTTGAGTTTTTTTTTTGTTAAAGAACTGTGTAATTCAGATTCTCTAGAGTAAAGCTGAATTTTAAACATTAATATGTATATATTCTTATAGTGAGAACTTGTTAGACAATTATTGGAATTTTGCATTTTTTAAAATGCATTAGGAAAATACGCCTGGAGGGCTGCCATTCCTGTGAATGTGAATTGGATCGTAGTGTGTGTGAAAGAGTAAAGTCATTTCTGCTTACTCAGTGTTGCCTCTCACCCTTGTATTTTTATGTAGCAAATGCAGCAAATGTGTGTCCTGATTTTTAAAATTTATTTTATTGAAGTCTAGGTGACTTACAATGTTGTGTTGATTTCTGCTGTACAGCACAGTGATTCAGGTATATATATAATATATATTTTATATTCTTTTCCATTGTGTTTTATCACAGGATATTGAATATAGTTTCTTGTGCTCTATAGTAGGATATTGTTGTTTATCTAGTCTGTATATAATAGTTTGCATCTGCTAATCCCAAACTCCCACTCCATCCAACAACCCCCGCTTGCAACCACAAGTCTGTTCTCTATGTCTGCGAGTCTGTTTCTGTTTCATAGATAGGTTCATTTGTGTCATATTTTAGATTCCACATATAAGCGATATCACATGATATTTGTCTTTCTCTGTCTGACTTACTTCACTCAGTATGATAACCTCTAGGTCCATCTGTGTTCTGATTTTTTATTTGCTTTGTCTAACTTCCCCAGATAAATTGTGAGCATCTTCACACCAGAGAAAGGGCTCCTTCATTTTGGCCACGTCCTGGGCAGAACCTTAGTTTCACTGCACATTTATTCACCTGCTTCCTCAGTGCCAGGCACTGTCCCACCTAAGCTACAGGGGTTCACGCGCTCAGCTCTCTGACAGCCTCCTCGGGGAGCTGGTTCCATGATCCCATTTTCTAGATGAGGGAACCGAGGTGGGAATAGTTGACTCCCTGGGGTCAGAGGTCTGAAGTGAGGATGGGGGTTGGGGAGAGGGGGCTGGATCACACCCAGGCTGTCCAAATGCTTTGACCTTTGCCCCCAGGATCATCATCACCACCTGACCAGGAGCACCTCCCCATCCTTCAGCTGTCCCCCTCCAGCCTGTCCCCTCCAGGACAGCTGCGAGCTCTCTGATGGGCAGCAGCTCCTGAAGCAGCCCCTCCCCGTGGGGGCCATTCAAGGATCTGGGCTTCAGCTCTTCCCTATGGGGAATATTAAATGCGCACCCGCCCGGGATGTTGTCGTAGACACGGAGCAGGGACCCTTGCACCTCGGCAGCACCGCGTCTGACACGGACCCGGAGCGGACAGGGCGACAGAACACACACGTCCTGTGCTGACCCGGGCGGGGGTCGGCCTCAGAGAGTCCCGAGAGCGAACTCAGGCGACCTGCGTCTCCGGCTGCTTTCACCGATGTTCTGTCCTCTGCAACCTGTCAGCCCTGAGTGGCCTGGAAACCGTTAGGTCGAAATAGCGGGCGGCCGTTGGAGTCACACACAGGTCTCGGGGGATCTGAAAGCAGGGCAGGAGGCTGGGACACAGAACGAGGACGAGGATCTCTGGGTGTTCACAAGGCTGATCCAAGTCCCTGAAGTGTGGCCACGCTACCTTTGGCCTCTTCTTCACCAGGTAGATTCACCGGAAAAGTGCTTTACCCATAAACGTGTTAGTCAATCTCACTTACGGAAAACTTCCTTAAATGTAACCATTTCCCCAGCAATGCTCTGTAAATGAAGGTGCTTGTAAGGCTCTGAGCATGCCTTTTTTCATCCATTCATTCATTCATTTGACTAATATTTATTAGTTCTAGGTACTTGGGGTACATACGTCAGTGAAGATAACCAACGAAAAATTGCTAACATCTTGATATATGTGTGTACTTGCTTTCATTCCATAGATCTTTACTGAGATGCGGGGCATCTGGGGTATGCAGTAGAATAAACACTCATGTTTTGGGAAGCCCCATGCATTCTTGGAGGTCACTGTTTGAGGTTGTGTATGGTACGAATGTAACCTTGGGTGTGGTCGCTCAGACCCCAGCAGACCTACCGCCCACAGCTCTGCAATGTCAGGCCAAGGGGCCCCTGTAGTCACAGGGCCCGCAGGGTTAAGTACAGTTGGGAGAGTTGTTTTCTGTGATAAACGAATGCCTGGCTTCATCCCGTAAGCAGCCCCTATTCCCTTCCATCCTCCCCAGCCACACTGTCATCCCTTGAAGCTGGGATGTTCTCAGGGTCCGTCTCCAGCCCAGCTCTGCCTTCTTAACTCAGTACTTTGCTTTCACACTTTCACCCTCCCTCTTGTATGGACTAGGTGTTGATTCCAGAATTTGCTGATTTTTTGAAAAGAGAAATCAGTCTCTGTGTCAATGAATTACAGCAAACTGCATAAGTGAGTTATAATTACTTCCTGAATATTCTATTTTTGAGAACACAAAATTTTCCAACAATTTGGAATAGTTACTTTCTTTTTCTGCCTTCCTGTGAAAATGGACTTAGAGTTTATCCATCTTAGGACTATACAATAGTAACCTTATTTTTAAAATTCAACTCTCAGGTTTGGTGATAGTTATACAGTCAAGGTTTGGCTCTGCAACGAAGCAAATCAACACAACGCTGTTTCCGGCTGCTTGAAGCTCTCGTTTCCAGGAATCCAGTTTAAGGTAGTGCTAATATTGTACATTACTTCTTTGTTTTGAGCTAAAAACATCTTATAAGTGTACTTGTCTTTTCCCCTGTTTTAATTATTTGCTCTCAAAAGATATCGCTTATTGTTCTGGCCTCATTGCAAAGTACAGGCCACACCTCTCCCCGCAAAATAGCAGGGGTGGTGGATCTCACCTGACCTCGCTGAAGGACGACAAGCCTGCTTTTCCCCTTGTTGTGTCACCCAGAGCAGATGGTGGTTACTCATCCCCCCTTTTCTGTGGGAACAACTTCATCACACAGTTTGTTTTGTTGAGGATGGAAGATACAAAAGTTAATTTCTCCCATGCATTTGCTGTGGGGTTTGTAGACTCAGGGATTTCAACATTCATTCACAAGAAGGGCCCTGGGCTTGAGATCACAACCCTCTACACACTTGATGCAAAGTGTGGTCCCTGAGCCAGCAGGTCTTCATCACCTGGGAGCAGGTGAGAGCTGCAGCATCTCAGTCCCCAGCATACTGACCCCAAACCTGCACTTTCCCAAGGGGACCAGGCGATCCTTGTACACACAAATGTCTGAGAAGCGCCACCTGCTGTTCTCTTGGATGACCCCATGATTCCAGTTTGTCGTAACTTCTAATAGATTGTAGTCCGTAAAGGAGCTACGCCTTGTGTGTCTATTTCATCCACGACAATTTGGTAAAATCCTACCCGGCGAGAAGCATGCTGTCCAAGTCACAGTGGTTCAAGGACCACTCTAAACTACCCCATGAACCCGCTGTTGGGATCTCCATGTGCACCCGTGGAAATGAGGCTCAGAACAGTTAAACATCTCACCAGGAGTTGGTCAGCTAACGGTGGGGATGGCCGGGTGCCCCGGTGTGAGGTTCAGGTGTCTCTGTGCATCTCTGTGATGTCACATATACCCCCTTCTTCTCAGCCGTCGATAGGTGTCTTCTTTCCCCTAGAGAGGGCTTCCCAGACTTGTGGCAAGGCGAGGGGGGGCAGAAAGGGGCAGAGAGGCCACCCCACCTGGGGGGACACCTCTTATCAAATATGCCTTGTGGTGAATCGTAGCCCATGACCATTCTCTGGAGACTCACAAAACTAACCCCCACACCTAGTTAGTATTTAAAGGTATGGTTTGCAAAAAGATAATTTATTTGGCAATTAAATATAGTGTGATCAATTTTGCTTAAGATTCCTAATCCTGTGATCCAATTTTTTTTTTTTTTTTGCTTTTAGGGGCAGCACCTTAATTTATTGGAATACCATGTGCCAAAAAGATGGGCGTGCTTAGCCCGTTCAGAGTTCTGGAGGACAATAAAAACTTCCTGAGTATCAAATATTACTCCATCAAGCACACCCCTCTGGAGCAGGTCTGGTACCTCAAAGGCGTCACCACGTTGTTTTTCTTGAGGCCTACTCCAGCCGATTTAAAAATGAGCCAGATTATACTTCTTGAGATCACCATTTCTTTTATTAATCACCATTTGAGTTTGCAAAATTCTGATAAAGATGGTGAGTGTGCTCTCCACTCAAGGTAAATATTCGACGTTCAGGGTTTCCATCTGCTCATAATTTCATTGGTCGCTCAGTAAACGGATCAGGCCCCGTCAGCCTTCCCATCCCCACTTACCCACCGGCCCCCGCCAATAAGTAAAGGGGCTCCACTGTAAGTGAGCTGACTTTGGGAAGAAAAGTGCTTGGTTCCCTGAGTCCCAGAAGGTGAAATTAGATCACAGGTTCAATCTAAAGCCGTGCTTGAGGCATCGAGAATTTCCAGAAATGTTTATCATTCCTGGAGTTGGGTCCTCAGAAGACCTACCCGTTGAGGGTGATTTAGGAAGGGGTGCTGTGAATGAATGGTTATGAGTCTTAGGAAAAGCTGGGCAGGGCTTGGAGAAGATGTTCCCTGTAATAGTTGAGAACAAAGGGTTGAGTGTTCCTCGAAGTTAATTATTTTCATCATTTCTTTCAGGTATTTGTTAATTTTGCGACTGAGCAGCAACAAACCGCACCACCTTCTGATCCGTCCACCGGTCGTGAGCACCCACAGAACCTGCCTGTCTAAGCGCTGAAGAAGATGCTGTTCAGAGAAATAAAACCTCGTCTTTTGTTATAATTAAGATTCAGAGATCAAAGGAGCGAGTGGGCGGCAGAGGAGCTGGAAGACACAGGGCAGGCAGTCCAATCTCATTCTCTCCTTCATTTTCTGTTTTGAAACACTTTGTTAATTACACCCTGAAAGGTCATTCTTTTCTGCAGACTTTTGGGCAGTTCCTCTGATTCAGTTACTGTCTTTGCCAAGGCGAGATGGGCCGGCTTCCTGGGACATGGGAAGGAATTGACATTCCTTCTGGAGCTGGAAAGGCTGTCAGAGTTTGTCCAGGTCAAACATTCCATTTTAATTTTAAGGAAACTGAGGCCCCCAAGGCTAATCTATTTTTTGTTGTCCTTTTACTAGATTATGCTTACATGTGTCTAAATAACAATTCAGTGATTTAAATGCACCGTTTCTCTAACCCTGGATGACATTTTATGTTATGAGATGAAAGCATACCATTTTTTCTTACAAAAGATGCTTTTAAAAAAATAGGGATTAAAGAGCTTTTCAGTCAATGCTTTAGCAAAATTAAATAATTTGAACTGGGTACCCTGTATCATTTACAAAAAGTGTGACCAGAATTTCACAGATTATAAATTTAGGGGAATATAGAAAGAAATATAATATAGATGTATTTTCTTTTTATTAATTTGGATTAATAATTACCGTTCAAGTCAGTGGTTTTCAAAGTGTGTTGGTCCCCATAATAGCTGCATTTGCATCTCTTGGGAGCTTGGCAGAAATGAAGGTTCTCAGGCTCAACCCCGAAATCTAAAACCCTAGGGTAGGAGCCCTGCAGTCTCGGTTTAAACAAGTCTCCCTGGTTTCTGTAGCACATTCCAGTTTGAATACCAATGGTCTAAGGAAATATCTAGGTACCTTCTAATTATACAAGCAAAACTAGCACCATATGTAGTAAACATTAATTTTCAAACAATTTTTATATTTCTAAAACTCTGTCATTCTCAGAATTATTGTCCTCAGAGTATTTTCAAATACAAAGTGCTCAGATGTGGCTCTAAAAGGCTTTGTAAACCCCACCGTTTGCATTTTATAGTTAGAAAAACACATCAAATCACCGTGTCTGCTCCTCAGAATGGTTTCCAGTCAGACACTTCAGAGTTGAAATGTTTCTCAACCCGCTTTGAGTAACATTCTTCTAAAACCCCAATGGAGGACTGCACTGATTTTATTTTACAACTTAACAGTATCCAATTAAGTTTTTGAGTGACAGTAGCTTGTGAGCAAAGAAAAACACTTTCTTGTGGTATTTCTTTGCTGAAGCAAGATTTCATTAAAATATATCTTTCCTGAACATAATTCTATACTAGAGATATTTTTAAACGTTAAGGATTAAGCCAATTACGGATCGTTTTGATTGAATGATTTTGGTTCACATATATCACATGAATTATGCTTTCTAAAAGAAGTTACAATTTAGGGTTTTATGATTTTTCTCCCAATTCTACCATTGTCTCATTGTCAAAATGAAAGATGTAATCCTTTGTTGTTGTTGTTGAATCAATAAGTAACATTTGTGAAACACACACATGTTTATACTGCCATGAATAAATGACGTGTGCTTTAATGTAATTGTGTTTCTGCCGGTATATTTCCTTGCATCTTTAGGGATCTAATTTAATTTTGGTCAGGAGGAAATGAAACTACTAGGATCTTTTAAAGCTTGAAAGGTTAAAATTTAATTGTGTTTTACTCTGCTGTGTTCTGCTCTTAGGGATTCTTTTCTAGGCTTTGAGTTGCTGTACTCATGAAGTTCATGCTTCAAGGTATGCCTTTGAACAATAAACAGGAAGAAAAGGAGAAACCCAATGTGCTAAAACGCCATATCCCAGAATACGGGACACAAAAGGTCAAATCTTCTGTTAATGTTGCAAATGTCATTGCATTTATAAGTCATGCAGATATGTTATGCCTTTGGAGTTAAACATTTGTCTTAAGACCTTTGGGCTTAAGGTCACCCAGCTGAGACTTTTAAACAAATTAACGTCTTTTGAAAGCATTCTGAGTGGAGTACTTTGTAAGGCGGAGACAACCTTGATGATTCCACTTCCACTGATCTGGCTTTTATTACATAGTTTATCTTTACCCAGATGTTTAAACAGATGATGTAGTAAAGCCCTCATGCAAAGTCAAGAGTGTAAAATTCAAACAAGAAGTATATTTTTGGAATGGTAAAGAGTAAGGCCTTAAACTTAATACTTAGCTTTGCTTAGTGGATATTGAATTAAAAAATGGCTCAACATCATCCCTCCAAAGCATCTTACAAAATACTTGCACCACACATACCCTCCCCTCAATATTTAGTGTTTGTAAGTAGGACGTGCATACTTCAGCTTAATCACAGATTCTTCTACCCAAATGGGGGATATAGACATTTTAAATTTCCAAACGGGTGTGACCGTGTTCCCTCCTTTGGCTATTGCTTGGGTGTTGCATTATCCAGCTCAGTGCTGGTTTGGGGCTGGTATGTTTACAGTATGTTTCAACTCAGTATCACACCCTTGAATAGTCCAAGCCCTTTCAATTACACACGTGTGTGTGCACATGATCATTCTTTCAATTAATATTATCGAGCCCATTCTGTGTACATAAATGGATGGTGCGTGCAATAAACATGAGGTGAGGGATTCACAGTGCAAAGATCCAGCCTCTGTCCTTGAGAAGCAGGCAGTCCAGTGGGGATGGCAGGTGAGGTCTGTGAGCCCTGAGCACACCCTGCTCTCCAACCAAGCGTGTGGTACTGACCTCGTGGAGTTCCCGCCATCTGGGTGGGCCCGCACAAATGGGGAACAGGAAGAAGGATATTGGAAGGTAAGAGAATTTCACAGCAAATCAACACTACTCAGTGAGCAGTGGCTATTTGCCTACGACTCTGGAGGGAGCTGATGTAATGGCTCCAAAGCACGGAGAGCGCAGCTCTGCCACCTCTAGAATTTCCCTTATGTTCCAACGTAGCCGCTGGAGGTCTAGCTATCGCAATATAGTCAACGCAGACAAGAAAAAAATACATTGGACTAGGGGGAAAATCACACCATTTAAAGAGGTCTCCTGGCTTATATGACATTGGCCAGAAATAGTCACGTGGCCATATCTTAGCTGCAACTGTTTGGGCAGTACAGTTTTAGCTGTGGACCTTAAATGAAATGTGGCTTCTGATTCTATGCAAGAAGAAAAAAACAGATACTGGATAGGCAGCCAGCAGTTTCTACTACAGGAGCACACAACAAGTTTTGTGGTCGTTTCGTGTGAGAACAGAATGAAATCAATTTTGGCCATGTTGAGTGAACTAGGTAATTTCAAATTATGTGACTATTTTTGGGCAACCCAGGTTCTAAGAGTGTTACTATTTTCAGAATTAGAGTAGTGTATTAACATCTGTAGATCAGATGCCATTTGTATTTATAAGCATTATCAAATTGAAACAATAGATAAAAGAATTTTATGGATATTTTCAATTTGGGCTAAATAAATGACACTGTCATTTTCTCACTGTGAGAATTCCTATTGAGAGCTTTAATGGATAAATTTTTCTTGCTGGAAAGGGTTTCAAATTGCTGAAAGAAGTCAGAAGCATTTTTCTTAATTATTTGCTATTTCTTGTCATTGCATGGGAGACATTTCACTATTTTTTTTTTCTTTTTTTGCGGTACGCGGGCTTCTCGCTGCCGTGGCCTCTCCCGTTGCGGAGCACAGGCTCCAGACGCGCAGACTCAGCGGCCATGGCTCACGGGCCCAGCCGCTCCACGGCATGTGGGATCTTCCCGGACCGGGGCACGAACCTATGTCCCCTGCATCGGCAGGCGGACTCTCAACCACTGCGCCACCAGGGAAGCCCCATTTCACTATTTTCATCAGTAAATTTATCACGTTTCTTTACATTCAAGTGTTTTAAGGAAAAATGAATTCTACTGCATTAAATGCATGTCTCAAACATAGCAAAATGTACTGGTTAAAAAACACATCTAGAAGTTTCACGAGCCCATCTTTCAAATGGAAGGCATCGTGAATACCATATTTGCCATGGCATTTATGTCCCATGAGTATGGCTTTGTATGCTGAATTCCATGTGTTACCAAATTGTGGGGATATAGTTGTGGTTTTGTTCATTAAACACCGGGAAGTAACTTCAGACAAACCCTTCGTGTAGTGTCATGATGGTTGATCGGTCACTGCTTTTCACCTATTCATAGTTACCCTCAGTGTTACATTGGGGCTTGCTCTACCCAAACGTAAGCTAATGAAGACTTCATTTGCCTTTGCAAAAACTAAACCGAATCAGGGTGATGAGCTGGGGTCAGGCAGCGTGTTGAGGGAAGGTCACCAGCTGGGCATAAGCAGATCTGGCTCTGCTTCCAACTTGAGTGAGATCTTTTCCAGCCCATTAATGAAGGACTCTGCCCTTCCATACCTCAAAGTATCTGAGTATTTTCTCTGTAGTTCCTCTGTTTGAAAAGCATGTTTTCCCCTCTCCTTGTTGAAATGCTGTAAAATTTAGTGCGGTGGGAAGATGGGTTCTGAAATAAGAAAGACCTACTCTCAAATCTTGCCTCTTTCACCTGAGAATAGTGGGGCGTCTCTGGGTGTTATTCCCACCTCTGTTACCCAGCCTCTGTTCCTCTTTGTGATGAACGTGGAGGGCATCTCCAACTCAGAGGGCTGTTCTGAGGATTAAAATTTTTTTTTAATTAATTTTTATTGGAGTATAGTTGCTTTACACTGTTGTGTCAGCTTCTGCTGTACAGCAAAGTGAATCAGCTCTACGTATACATAAATCCCCTCTCTTTTGGATTTCCTTCCCATTTAGGTCACCACAGAACGCTGAGTAGAATTCCCTGTGCTCTACAGCAGGTTCTCATTAGTTATCTATTTTATACATCGTATCAATAGTGTATCTATGTCAGTCCCAATCTCCCAATCTATCCCTGCCCCCCTTCCCCCCTTGGTAA